ACAGACACGAGGACACGCACACACAGACACGAGGACACGCACACACGCACACACAGACACGAGGACACGCACACACACGAGGACATGCACACAGACACGAGGACACGCACACGCAGACACGAGGACACGCACACGCAGACACGAGGGCACACATACAGACACGAGGGCACACATACAGAGACATGCCCACATAAGGGACCATGCCCACACAACACAGGAGAAGACACACGCGCACACGCACACACACACACACACACGAGGACATTTGCACAGGCCCCCACAAGAGGGCGCACTCGTTTGTGAAGGCGACGTGTGCATGCAGCACAAGCGCTCACCCGGGTCTAAGGGGACCCCAGGGAGGCGCCCAATGGGGTCACATCCTCTCATCTGCTCTAGGCCACCAAGGGACCACCCTGGGGCCAGCCCCTCGGGCCTCCAGGCCCTACCCTTGGAGCAGGACATCGATGGCAGGGGCCCCAGGTACATCATCCACAAAGCCTGGCTGTGGGCAGGTGTGTGTCTGTGTGTGATGCGTGTGCACGTGTCTGCATGTGTGCGCGTATGTCTGCATGTGTGTGTGCATGTGCGTATGTATGTATGTGTATATATGTGTGTGTGCGTGTGCGTGTGGGGTGTGAGAGCTTCCTGGACACTGGGTCACCTCCCTGCCAGTATTGTCCTGGGACGGAGGTGGAGGGTGGGGGCGGGGGGTGGCGGGGAGCACGATCTTTGTCACATCCCTGTAGTTGCGGGGAAGGAGGGCCTGGCAGGGGGTGTTGGAGGGTAGAGGACAGAACCTACTGGGGGTGGGGGACAGCTTTCCCTGCTAACTGCTGTGGGCCCAGCCTGAGGCTGCTTCCTGTCACCCTCCATCACCAGAGAGCCTCACTTACTGAGGGGTGGGGGGCCTCTCGTGGGCATGTATCCACGGAGCTAAATGTGCTTTGCAACGCGTGCCCCAGGAGGGCAGGGGCTGTGGGGCCACAGGACTGAGAAGAAGCTGTCCTTATAGAAGAATTGTGTCCTGAGCGTTTCTGATCCCAGACTCGGGGAAGCAGAGGACACAGTCCCTGGGTTTTGCGTGGCTGGGAAGCTGAGTGTTGTAGGCTGGACGCAGGGTCAGGGTAGGAGCCCCTGTTGCAGGTCTGCACTCTTGTGGCAGGAGGGGGTGGGGAGGGGCACCCCAGGGACCTGCAGGCTGAGCACAGTAGGCTGCAGCAATGGCCTGGAGACCTTTGCTGAAGGTGAGCAGCTGAGGCCGGGGTCTATGCATCCTGCCCCCCCCCCCCCCCCCCCAAGCTCCCAACGTCCACTGTGGGCCCCGGGGCAAGCAGGGGTCCCACCCACAAGCGCTGCTGCCCCAACTTGAGGTTCCCAGCACTGCTTGCACCAAAGGCAGTTCCTCTTGGTCATCACCAGCCCTCTCCTCGACCCACTTCCTGGACCGGATGGATGGGCGGGGGCCCAGTCATGCCCTCTGCTGGGGTCTGCCTGTGGGACCGGGTCTGCCACCGCCCTAGCCTGGCTCCATCTCCAGATGCACCAGCCCAGTGGGATGGGCGCCTCAGGGAGCCCTCACTCTGAGAGGTGGGGGGTGGCGGTGGGGGGCCCTCCTCTCTGGGTCTGGGGAGGGAGGGAATCTATGCAGAGAATGCCTTGGCCAAGCCCCGCTCACCAGGCACTCACCCTGGGGTGACAGCAGGTGGGACGGCCAGCAGGAGGAGCAGGTGGGCCTGCTGCAGTGCCTCAGCCATGTGGGTCAGCATGTGGACCAGGCCCCTGCGGACAGACATGCAGTCAGGGTCCAGCCCCGGGCAACAGCGGCAACACCCGGGGTGGGGAGTGGGGAGGCTGAGCGGTAAGCCTTGGGGCCGTCAGGCCCAGCCTGGACCACACAGGGCAGGTGGTGTGGTGGGGGAGGGTTGCCTTGGGCCCTTCCCACCCAGGAAATCAGTGTCGCCACACTGCCCTAGTGGGCAGACGGTCCCCTGACTTCGGCTAAGGCTAAGCCAGTCCCCTCCCCTGCCCAAGCCCCCACTCACGCCTGTTTCTGGCCTAACAGCTGGGTCCAGACCTCCACCACGAAGCCATCAAAGTGCTGGTTCTGGAAGGGCCGGGCACAGGTGAAGGACCCAGGGCTGCCCCTACCTGGGCCTCCCTCCCCTGCCCTCAGCACCCCAGCCTCCCTCCCCTGCCCTCGGCACCCCGGCCTCCTCCCCTGCCCTCAGCACCCCGGCTTCCTCCCCTGCCCTCGGCACCCCGGCCTCCTCCCCCGAGCATCCCACCCTCCAATCTGAGCGGGTGGCAGGCAGGCGGGGCCAGCACCGCCAAGCAGGCACTGGAGCCTGCCAGCCTCACCTTGGCGACCTGGACCAGCGTCTTGCCAAGTTCCTCGATCTCATCCTCGCTGTCGGCGACGCTCCTGAAGTCGTCCAGTGTCCAGTCCTCGAACAGAAGTCGAGGCACTGGGGACAGACAGGCAGACCATCGTCACACGACCTGCTCCCGGCCCTGTAGCGTGACCTCGCTCACAGAGCAGCTGTGCCCAGGGGTGGCCCCACCCTGAGGGGTGGCCCCACCAGGTCCCTGCCTGCCTCCAGGACAGTGGCTGCCTGGGCAAGACCCAGCTTGCCAGGGCCCTGCCCTGCCCCGACACCTCCCAGGTGGCTCCATCTCCTGAGCCCCAGGCCCCGGCGGGCGTGGACAGACGGGAGGCTGCCTGCACCACCCAACGCACCGACGCGCAGGCCTTTGTTCTTCCGGACTGCTCGCATCCAACCTGCGGATGGACAGAAAGACGCCGCGTCACGCCGGGAGCTCACCTGTGCCCTTCCTCCTGCTCCTTGGCTCCCTAGTGCCCTCGGGTGCTGGACAACACAGGCCCACGGCGGTCACCTCAGGCCTCCCCCACCCGGACTCCTGCCTGGACCTGAGGGCCAGAGGGCCGTGTTAGTGCCCAGGTGCTCCCTCAGCTGAGACGCTGGGGTCCGTCTCCAGATGGTGTCCCCTGTCCCTGCGGGCACTCAGGACAGTGGCCCTGGCCCAAGCCTCCCAGTGCCCTGCACGGGGCCCAATGCCTGACTCCACACATGCCGCCCACACGTCCGGGATGGGGCTCCGCAGCCCTGCCCACTGACCCTCGGGACATCCTCCCACACTTGGCCACGGTCCGGCCCATGCCCACTGCTCTGGGCCCAGGCGTGGTCGGGGTGGGGAGGGGACCTTGGTCTACGTCGTGGAGGCCCGAGACCTCAAACAGCTCCCGGCCGCGGCGCTTCAGCTGCAGCCAGACAGGCGACACCCGTGTGAACTTGCCCCCGAATGTCCTGGCCACGTCGTAGCCGTGGCTGTTCCACTGGGAGAGGGATGCAATGAGGGCGAGGTGAGCGCCGTGCCCTCCAGGGGCCACGCCGCTGCCTGGGAGCACCAGCCCCCAGCTACCCTCCTGTCTTCTCCGTGCTGCCCATTGGGAGACACGTGGACCATGCACCCACCCCAGTCCTGCCTGGCTCTTCACCCTCCAGGTCCGCGCCCGCCCCGCCTCACCGGGGTGACGTAGCCCAGCACGGGCCCCTGGAAGTGCCTCTCACGGGCCTGGGCGGCGCAGTAGCTGCGGTGCTCCAGGACCACGTCCTCGGCCCGGGGGGCCGTCACCACAAGGCCACGCGCCTGCACAGGCTTGTCGGCCAGCTGTGTCTGGGGGCAGAGGAGGCCACGTGGTCACTGCGGGCACGACACAGCCGGCCGAGGACCCCTCTCTGACTGCCCAGCCATCGCCTGGGGAACCAGCACCAAGCATCTGAGATGTGCAGGCCCAGCAGAGGGGACACGGCAGACCTGGGGGGACTGAGATGGGGATGGGGGGACGGGTACATGCAGGATGGGGAAGCAGGTGGGCCAGAGGCACAGGTGGGGTGGAGGTACAGGTGGTGGGGACACCCAGGCGGGGCGGGGGCTCAGACTAGATGTGGACACAGGTGTGGGGTGAAGGAGGGTGCAGACCGGCCTGCATCTGCAGCAGGTGGAGCTGGGGGAGGTGTCGCCCACTGGGAGTCCCACCTTCTCCAGCAGCGTCTTTGTGGCGGCTTTCTTGGCGTCTGACTTGGACAGGGTTGTGTGAACGAAGCCGAAGGCCAGGGCCAGCCCCAGCATGCCCAGAACTGTCCTCATGACGGGCAGGCCCAGCAGAGGCTGAGCTCAGTGTCCAGGGTGCTGGCGAGAGAGCACCCAGCTCAGGGAGCCTGCCTGGGACCTTGGCAGGGCTGGACTCTGCAGAGCCCCACCCAGGACCTCCTGGGGGGCCACTGGCTCTGCCTGGCACGCAGGAAGGGGCCTTGTCCCACTACTATGGCCCCTGCCCCCTACGGAAAGTGCTTGAAGAAACGATTCCACACGTGTGGTTGCAGGGGGGCTTCCTGAGTGTGTCGTGGGAGCACAGCAGCGTTTGTGTCCATGTGCCATGTCCACAGGCAGTCATGGCATACCCACGCCCACCGCTCACATCCACAGGCATGTTCCACGTCCACCCCTATGCACACACGTTCTGTCCACGGTCCCCATATCGTATCCGAGGGCATGTTTCCATTCACACCCATGTGCCCACATTCCGTGTCCATGTGCCATGTCTACATTCACGGGTGTATTTCATGTCTACTCCCATGTTTCATTTAGATATGTGAGTGCACACAAAGCGAGCTCAAAACCTAGTCACTAGGCAGCACACATGCGACGTGGCAACGGTGCTGGTGTGATCTGTGCAGGTGCACAGGTGTGCTCTGGTCAGCCGTGCAGAAGCTCCGGAGGAAGGTGGAGAAGCAGGAAAAGGACACTGGGGGGGGGGGACACTGCACTGTGGAGCTGCTGTCAGAGACAGAACAGACGGATCTGCTCTGGAAACCTGCGCCCAAGCACACGGAGGGAGGGTAGCCTGCCCATTGCAGGGGCAGACACCCACGGCAGCAGCAGGTGAGCGATGCTAAAGCAAGATCCGGTTCCCACTTGGGACTGCAAGGGTGACAGCCAAGCCCCGCAGGCTGCTCCACTCTGCCCGGCTGCTTCCTGGGTGGGCGGGCTGGTGGGGGCTCCGCCTGCTCTGACCAAGACCCCTCACTGTGTGCACAGGCTCCTGGCCCGCAGGCACGTCCCCTAAGTGCCTTGGTCACTACTGGTCAGTTGTTCTAAAGCAGGCTGCAGGGCAGGGACAGGAAGACCCGGCTGCGATGGCCCTTCGCTTTCCTCTCCTGGGGACACAGGCCAGCATCAGACTTCCCAGGGATCAGAGGGCGTTCCTGAGCACTGGCTGGGGTGTCAGGGGCCAGAGCCCAGCACTGAGGGATGGGCAGCAACGCCTGCCCATATGTCTGAGTGAAGTCCCTGGTAGAAATGTGTCAGAGGATCTCGGCATACATGTGCATGTTTGTGAGCACATGCATGTGGCATGTCACACGTGTGGAGTCACACAGGCAATGTGTGCGTGCTGGTGCACGGGTGCGTGTGACTGGTACACTTACATGCACGAGGTGTGTACAAGATGCATGTTCAGCATGTTATGTGAAATGTTTGTAGACACATGTAGTGTCATATGACCACATATGGCAGATACACACCATGTATGTGTGACACGTGTGTGCTGTATAGACATGTGTGGACACTACAGACAAAGACATATATTGTGTAGACACTGCAGGTATGTGGTATGTGTACCTGTGCACATGCCATGGGTGTAGTATGTGGGCATGTATGTGTGGTCTCTGTATAAGCATGTGTTATGTACTTGTGGTACATGGACACACATGTGGACACTGCAGACATGTGGCCTGAGTCTAGTGTGGCATGCACATACATGTGTATGAACACTGTGCAGGTGTGTGTGGTCTGTGTCTGTGCATATGATGTGCACGTGGTACAAAGACACACATGTGGG